CTTATTCAACATACGACTTGAAATTTTAGCTAGAGAAATAAGGCAAGAGAAAGAAACAAAAAGGATATAAATAGCAAAGGATGAATTCAAATTATCTCTATTTGCATATATGACATGATCTGACTCTCAGAAGATCCTAAAAATTCTACCAAAAGACTTTTAGACCTCATAAACAAATTCAGCAAAGTAGTAGAATATAAAATGAACATGTAAAAATCAGTATCTTATTGGGCACCGGTGGCTCATGTCTGTAATCCTAGCTACTTGGGAGGCTGAGATCAGGAGAATTGTAGCTCGAGGCAAGCCTGGGCAAATAGTTCATGAGACCCCCATCTCCAAGATAACCAGAGCAAAATGGATTAAAAGTGTGGCTCAAGCAGTAGAGTGCCTGCTTCCTGAATTCAAACCCTAGTCCTGCCCCCCAAAAAATCAGCACCTGTTCAGAAAGAAATCAGGAAAACAATCCCATTCACTGTATTCCTCAAACAAATGAAATACCTAGGAATAAATCTAACCAAGGAGGTGAAAGACCTGTACATGAAAACTATAAAACACTAAAGAAATTGAAGACACTGGAAGGACCTTTCGTGTTCACATATCAGTAGAATTAACAGTGTTAAAATGACCATATTGCCAAAGCAATCTACAGATTTAATGTCATTCTCATCAAAATACCGATTATATTCTTTATGGAACTAGACAGCACAATCCTAAAATTTATATGTAAGCACAAAGGACCCCAAACAATCCTGCGTAAAAAGAGAAATGCCGGACATATCACAATCCCTGATTTCAAATTAGAATATAGAGCCACAGTAACAAAAACAGCAGAGAACTGAGAAGAGACATAAAGACCAATGGAATATAGGACCAGAAAGAGACCAAAGCATTCACAGCCATCTGCTCTTGACAAAGATGCCAAAAGCATATGTTGGAGAAGAGAAGTTTTTAACAAAGGTTATAGGGAAAACTGGATATCCACATTAAGAGGACTAAAACTTGAATTCTGTCTCTCACCCTATACAAACATAAACTCTAATGTCACCTTAATGTAAGAACTGTAACTTTGAAACTGCTATGGGAAAACACTTTAAGATATAGGTATAGACAGTGAGTTTCTGAATAGGACTCCAATAGCTCAGGAAATAGTAGCAAGAATTGCCAAGGGATTGAACGGAATTAAACATCTTCTGTATACCAATGGAAATGACAGAGCCTATACAATGGGTAAAGATACTCGAGAGTTATTCATCCAGCAGAGAATAGTATCTGGAATAGATAAAGAGCTCAAAAAATTAAACACCAAAAGGAGTAACCCAGTCAATAAATAGGCAAATGAACTAAACAGATGGTCCTCAAAAGAAGAAGTACAAATGACCAATAAATATGTAAGATATGTAGTTAGCCATCAGGGAAATCCAAATCAAAACTACTTTGAGATTCCATCTCACCCCAGATACAATGGCTATCATAAAGGAAACAAACAACTAATGTTGGCAAGGATGTGGGGAAAAGGAACCCTTATATACTGATGGGGATGTAAATTAGAACAGCCAGAATGGAAAACAGTATGGAGGTTCCTCAAAAAACTAAAAATAGAACTGCCATATGATCCATCCATACCAATCCTGGGTAACCACCTGAAGGTATCAAAATCAGCACGCAATAAAGATCCCTACATAACTTTATTTTGGCACCCTGCACAATAGCCAAGATACAGAATCAGCCTAGGCACCCATCAATGGATGGATGAATAAAATGGTATATGAAATGGAGTATTATTTAGCCATAAATCTGAACAAAATCATGCCATTTTCAAGTAAAATGGATCTAACTGGAGATCATCATGTTAAGCAAAATAAGTCAGACTCAGAAAGACAACTATTGCATATTTTCTCTCATTGGAATCTAGGAAAGAAGACATGAAAGAGGAAGGGGGACTACAAGGAAGAGGAAGGGGATAGGGAGATGGCAGAGGGAGGATAAGGAGGATAATGATGAATTGACATGATCAAAGTGTGTTATATGCATGTATGAAAATGTTACAATGACACACATTATTTTGTACAATATATACCACAAAAAGTTTTTTAGGAGGTTTCAAAATCTCAACACACACTGATGAGTCAGGAAAAAAGAGAAAGAGAAAAGCAATAAGTAACATTTATTTAGAACATACTCTGTGTCAAGTACTGTTCTAAGCACATTCTACATACTAAATAATGAAATTGTCATGAGGACCCTAAAAAGGAAACTTACAATCTCTCTTTGTGAAGATGAGGCAGCTGGAGCTCAGAGAGGTAAACTAACTTGTCCAGGGTCACACTTGTGGTGAAGTGAGTACTTGAGCCCATGAGTTTTACTCAGACTTCTGGAGATGCAAAAGCCTAGTGCCAGTATGAGCTTCTGGTAAGGGCTCACACTGAATAGCCTCACATTACAGGGGTACGTGCAAGACAGAGAGAGAGGTCACATGGTAAGAGAGAATGTAAGAGACCCAGAAGGGCCAGGCTCACTTGTTTACAATGCCCCATTCCTGTGGGAACTCATCCACTCCTTGAACTAGCATGAATCCCTTCACCAGTATGGTCCTGACACAATCACTGCTCACTAGGCAACTCCTCTTAATGGTCCTACCACCTTTCAAAACCAATATATTGGGGACCAGTCTTCCAGCATATGAACTTTCAGAAGACAATCAGTATACAAACCATGGCAGAGCACTACCTACTAAGAACACTGAGCCACAGAACCTTGCGAGAAGCAAGTCCCCATGTTTTCATGCTATGTCTTTTCCATCTACAGAAAATGTGTTGCTTACACAGCCTAACAGTTTCTGCTCCTAAGTCAGGGCACCATAAAGCATGAATTTAGGGAGACCAGTATGATGCCGTGATGGTAACATGATGGAGAGCACTGCCTTCCAAATTATGGCAAAGATCCTTGGAATTAACTTATCATAGTAGCAAAATATTTAGTGTGCAGCTCTGCTGGGGCCTGCCTTAAAGAAAGCAAATGGATTCTGGGTTGTGCTAGCTACAAAGAGGAAGGAAATTTACACATCCCCCATCAGCTGCACCCCAGCCACTCCAGTGATTCCCTCAGTCCAGGAAGGTCCTCTGACAAACAGCTGCCGTGACTGAGTCACACCTGATCCCGCTGACCATACCCAAGGTGGCTCCCAGAGAACTCTTTCACACCAGCCAAGCTGGACAAGGAAATGGGAAGTGGTAGAGTACATGACCCATGTGTCTCTCAGATCCAATAGTGGCCTTCTCTGTGACTCCCAAGGAGTGTGGAGTGCTTGGGAGGGGTGACTTTCACAGGGACCTGGAGCTGCCCCAGCTCCTACTTGCCCTTCCTGTCATAGGAGCTACAGTTTCCCAGGTCAGGAAGCACAGAGGACAGTAACAGAAGCCAAGTTCTGTTAAGGCCCTGAATATTGCTGTTTGGGTTTAGTTCCAGTGTCTGCAACAGTTCCTGACACTTAGGTGGCAAAACTGAACGCGTGGAGTGAAACAATGAGCAAAAGCCCAAACTTGCGAGGTCACCCCTCCTCTGGCTTCCTTTATTATAAAGTGGTGCACTAAACACTGGGTGATTGGGAAGTACCCCCAAAATCGCTAAAGCAAACTGAAAACTCAGCTCAGTTGACTTGGGACCAGGAGCTTATGGCAGACTTAGGAATCCAAGGCCTGCCGCTGAGCTCACAGCCAGGTTCCGGGGACGCCAACAGCTCCAAAATAACCCTTTCCCTCAGACACAGCTTCCTGATTCAATGCTCTGTTAAGGGAAAGCAAGCAGTTTCATGGAGTCCACATGTGGGCTGTTGGGCAAGCAACTTCCCCTTCCTGCAACGGGCTCTAAGTTTGTCCCCAATTCTGCAGATGGGCTGTACCTTTCCCGCAAAGTGGCCCACAGAGGCTTAAGTACACCACATATGGCAATATTTTTGTTTAAGCATTAACTGATGTCTTCATGGGATGCTGAACCATTGGCTCATAGGGATGGAATGATGAAGTAACCACAGGTAAGTGGTACTGATGCTCAGATACTTTATTTATTGAAGTTGACAACACATAATCTGACCCTAGGATCTACCAGGCACTAGCCTAAGTGCTTGCCATTGGGTTAGTGGAAAAACACACCTGAAAACAGCCTACCTTATGGAACTAACATTCTAGCACAGGAAGAAGGGCCATAGATAGACATTAAATTTAACAAACCGAGTAGGTGACAGATGTCAAAGGCCGTGGGCAATTGGACACTGCACACATAGCCTAAGGGCGACTCAAAACCGCAGGCACTTTAAATCAGGCCGTGAACATGCGGGGCCCGTGACTCAATTTAGCCGCTTTGTCCCTGCAGGTTACGTCCTGGGCAACCCAGGCCACCGCCAGCACAGAATTCACAACTGGCCATGGGAAACAAGGAGTTTAACTTAATGGCAGCCAGCATTGTTTCTTTCCTACAATCGAGAGCTAGTTTTAATGTGTTTTTAAATTAATAAGACACTTCTCTAAAGCGAGTTTGTGCTCACAAGAGGTCAAGTATCTTTTTTGTTTGTATATTTGTTTGAGACAGGGTCTGTGTATGTAACCCAGGCTGGCCTCAAACTCATGCCATCATACACTATGCGTTCATTAGTTGAATGCAGTCAGTAATGTTTAGATAAACCTCATTCATATAAGTACTTAATTTCTAATACAGTAAAAAATATTTCAACTGAACAGAGATACTGTTTTAAGTACCTTTTTGAGAAAGGGTCTCTCTATGTAGCCCAGACTGGCCTAAAACTCACAACCTTCCTGCTTCCACTTCCCAAGTGCTAGGGTTACAGGCATGCACTACCATACCTGTCTTATCCTGTACCTTAATTGGATTTACCTAAGAGTTGTATTTAAAATATTTGTTCAGGCTTACTAAGCTAAGCTTTTCTATTAAAACAAACTCATTTCTGCCCATATAAGAACAGATGAACAGGGAATAAAAATGTTCAGTTATGACAATATTTGCACTGGGGTCATGGAAACTGCTCTCCAAGTACAGCACAACTGAACACTCTCTACTACGACCACACTGACAATGTCATATGGTTGAGGTATGTATCCAACAGGAAGTTTCAGAGAATCCAAGGTAAAGAAGATGGTGTAGTCTATTACCCCACATCTATCCTGTAGCCAAGTAATATAGACCTGTGATGAGAAATGACAGCAATGATTACAGAAAAGCATAATCCATTGTAATGGATCTAACCTGCAAATTGCTCCACCACACCACTGATTCCCAACCTGCCCAGCACATTGGCAATACTAGGGGTGAACACACTGGTGCCCAGGTCCCTCTTCACACCAATTATGGCAGAATCTCTGGGGATGGACCCTCAGTCTCTGACGAGAAGCCTTGCTCCAAACATTACCCACAATGGTCATTACCTGTATAGTCAAGGTTGAGAGATTCAAAGGGATTGACTGAAAAAGAAATGTGGTGGCAAGCACATGATTATTGCTTCTGTCCTCGTCTGTCACATTCCAAGCTCATTATTGCATCTGTACCTTTGTTGAACTCATTTTAAGACTTCACTATCGAAATACCTAGGTTTTCCTAGTATGCTCAAATACTACAACCCACTCTACTCATTCTTTCCCAACAATTTTCTTGCACGTTGATTGTTTTTCTTCCTCTTCTTTTCAGAACATCCTAACCAACATTCTAACCCCATATAAACTGTATAACTTAGAATTTAATTATACATGTGTTTGTGTATTATTTTTGAATTGTTTCCTTTTGGAATTCCTACTACTTCAGTAAGAAAATAGGCTCCTTTTTGGGAAAGAATATATTTTCAAGTCTCCCAGCATACTCAATAGATTTCTGGCCACAAAATTATGAAAGAAAGTAATAACAAGCACAACATGGAAACAAATTACCTTATCCACATGCTTACAGTTCATGGGCTTTGCTGAGTGTGTCTTGATCTTTGAGGTACCTGGCAGCAAGGAATACTCAACTTCTAACCAGTCACCCTTATAAGGCATAAAACCTAAAACAGCCAGGGAAAAAACTGAGTGTGATTCATTCACATTCTCTTCCTCTCCCTCACTCCCTCCTTTCCCCTTTCCCTCCCTCCCTCCTCCCTGTCAGAGAGAGTATGGAAATCATGCCAAATTTAACAAGATCTGTACACCCTAAAATAGCCTGTAATTAGACGTAAAGTATAGTTGAACATTTTTAAACACATACCTCTTTTTTGGCAGCACTGTAGTTTAAACTCAGGGCCTCATGATTGCTAGGCAGGTGCTCTACCACTTGAGCCATGGCCCTAGCCCTATTTGTGCTATAGTTAGTTTTTGGTTAGGTTCTTGCATTTTTATCCAGGGCCAGCCTCAGACTGTATCCTCCTCTGTATGCATCCTATGTAGCTGGGACTAGAGATGCATGCCACCATGCATAGCTTGTAGGTTAAGATGGGGGCAAACTTTTTGCTCAGGCTGGCCGTGAACCAAAATCCTCTCAATATCTACCTCCTACATAGGTGGAAGTTCAGGCGTGTGTCAGCATGCCTGGCCCTTAAACAGATACCTTATAAATATTTCTGTCAGAACGTAAATATAATCTTTTAGACATTAATTCTCTACTACATCAACTGTTCATCACAACCAATCTCTGGCAACAGCACAGGGTTGATTACACGATTGGTCACATTCAATGCCTCGTCCAAGGAGAAGGTTCAATGCACAGGTAAGAGCACACATCTAAACCTGCTACCTGAATTCACGTTCACTTACTGGTCCTTGGTCTGCAATCTTAGTGAAGGTCTTTGACCTCTGTGTGCCAGGGCTTCTTCATCTATGAATTGAGAAGTCATAGTCCTTATGACACAGATATGTTGTGACAATGAGTGCATATGGAGAAAACTCATAGAATACTGCCTGGCAATGTTAACTAGCAAATAAATACAGATTGCTACTAGCTACAGTAGTCACATTAGGAAATATTGCTAAGATAAGAATGAATCTATTTCAGCAGGTGTTTTATGTTAGGGTTGAGAGTAAGACCATCCACGTTATGACCAGACCCCTCCCTCTCACAGGTGGCTTACTGGAAACTCCCCACTTGACCCTAGAGACTGACATAGGGACAGCTGTTAACCATTATCTCTAGGTGGACACCAAGGACAGTCTAGCAGATGAGTGACCTAACCACAACTTATCTTACTTGGTTGCCCAGCAACAATATTCCTTAGTGATCTTCCTGGTATTTTTCTACTAGCCCCCTATGTCTACACCAAGCCAGTGCATGGTAGCCTGCCATGGGCTGTAGTTCTCTTGCTGGAGACCCCCTCTGCAGGCTCTCTTTCCCGAATAAAGCCTGTGCTAATGTTGAGCCATCTTCTGCCTATCCTTCCATGTTTCTCTTCAGCCTAACATTTTGTTCAGCTGATGAATTGTTAAATATGTACATTTTATAGTTATAAACATGTAGTTTCAAATAGAATTTTACAATGAGTAAAAAGTAAACCACAGAGCCAGGTGCCGGTTTATCATATCTGTAATCCTAGTTACTTGGGCTCTAGACCATCCTGAGCAAAAAGTTTGCAAGACATCATCTCAATGGAAAAAAGCAGGGCGTGTGCCTGTCATCCCAGCTACATCTAGGAAGATCACAGGCAAGGCTAGCCTGGGCAAAAAGTGAGACCCTATCTCTAAAATAACCAGAGAAAAAAGGGCTGGAGGTGTGGCTCAAGCAGTAGAACATCTGCCTCACAAGAGCAAAGGCCTGAGTTCAAACCACACTACTGCCAAAAAACAAATGAAAACAAAAAGCACTTGACAGAGTGGTTCAAGTGGTAGAGTACCTGCTTAGCAAGTGCAAGGGCCCAATAAGATCAAGAACAAACAAAAAAGTAAGCCACAGGATGGCAAAGGCATCTGGAAGAACTAGAAACACTGTAGGTAAGAGTGTTCACCAGCACAACCACACCAGTAAACTGACAATATTGACAAAGACAAACATTTCCTTACTGTATGATCCAGAAATAAAGAATGATGGAATGACGCAAGAGATAGATCTCGGATCTGTCTCTCTCCTTCCCTTCCTTCCTCCCTCTCTCCATCCCTCCCTCTCTCCCTCTTTCTGTCTCATCTATATACATTTGTTTGGTGTGGCTTTATAAAATATCTATGGATAAACAACTTCAAAATGCATGTACCTCCAGATATAACCAACCACAGATTCAATTGTCCGTGTGCCTATGAAAATTTAACCCGTCTGTCTAAAGCTGAGTTACTGTTGTAATTTTTCCCCTCTTAGTCTTTCACATCTCAAACTGGCAATGTCATCTTTACTGCTGCACAAATGAAAACCTGCAGTTATTGGCAGGAATAGAGGGGCATCAGCCAGATCCCAGAGTAGGAGATCCCAGCCTTCTTTCCTCCCACAAACAACAATTGGACAACTATCCAGTAAAAAATAGCTCTAAAGGAGCCCAGGAGTCCATTTAAAAGGCTTTAGAAATGCCGAAGAAAGAAAAAAACCAAGGAAACTTGTACAAAAAGGGTAGGAAGTACTCTTTCATTTTGACAGAATTCATTTTGTCTGACTCCTTTTCCATCACACAAAGGTCCAAATCCAGCAGCCAATGCTTCCATCTCTAATTTCAAATACAGTCAGAATCAAATCAGTCCTTAGAGCCTGTACTCTGACAACCTCAGCCGAGTCTCATCATCACTGGCCAAAACTATCACAGCTAACCAATTTCCTAACTCCACCTCTGCCCCATATAGTCCCTTTTCAACAAAGCCAAGTGAATATTTCACAACAAATTCAGGTAAGAGTCTTGGTTTTATACCCACAGAAGGTAAAATAGCAAGCTGCCTGGCGAGGCTAAGCTAATCTCTGCTTTTCTACTCAGGCTACATGACAACTGCATTCAACTCAAAGAACATAAAGTATAGCTCCGGGTATAAACACAATCTTAGAATATCTGCTCATTGCAAATAGAAATTAATAAATAGGGGGAGAAGGGGAGAGGAAAGGAGGGAGGGAGGGAGAGTGAGACTAAGGGAGAGAGAGGGAGAGAAAGAGAATATGTCAGCAAGCTACAAGGTTGTTTCCAAATCTTACTTTGAAGCATTTTAAAAAATAGAGGCTGTACGTGGTGGTGCACTATTATCCCAACACACTGGAGGCTGAGGCAGGAGGCTCATGAGTGCCTAGAACACTTGCTTAGCAAAGGCAAGACTCTGAGTTTAATCCCCAGTACAACCAAAAAAAAAGGATTTCACACACCATAAGAAGGGGGAGGGGAGAAGATGAATAGTTATTTAACTTATATTGTAAGCACAACTGTAAATATCACAATGTATCCCCCTCTACAATTATATGCTAATAAAAAATTTTAAGATAGTATCTCTATTTATTTGTAATATTTTTACTTTATTAGAAATTAAATACATGAATGAAAAAATTATACAAACATTATTGATTTCATTCAACTAATGAACACATAATATATGATAGCTTGAGTTTTTGGAAATATTACCTATTCATCCCTATATTGCACATTATTTTATATTTTTGTGTGTAATATTTCTAATTTATTTATCTTTTTTATTATTGTGCTGAAGGTACAATGTGACAGTTACAATACTTCTTACAATATATCATAGTTGAATTCACCCCCTCCATCATTCTTCTTTATCGTCCCCACCCCATTCCTAGCCTATATTAAACATTACTTTCAGTTGGAAAGGTCCATCTCAAATATTAAAGAACCACTGGCTGGAGACACATACACTACAGAAACAATTCCAGTACTAAAATTTTTTCAAAATATTAAGGAAGACATGTTTTTAAAATGTAATTCATACCTTCAGAAACAATGTCTAGAGAGAAGTAAATTTTTTTATCAATGTAGACAGTATCATTCTTTATACGGTTAACACAACCAACTAAAATTCTGATTCTAGAGTCTGATGGTCCAGCAACGTCAAAATTGTCAGAGATAGCATCCACCTGTAAGGTAAGGAAACAGCTACTTAAAATAAAATATGACAAAAAATTAAAGGGGGAATTTCTATGCTTAAAACATTGTTGCTGAAGAAATATTTTGACTCATGTATGTAGTTCCAGCTACTCAGAAGCCTGAGCTGGAAGTTGAACCCACATTTGAAACCAGCCTGGGCAAAATAGTGAGACCTTGTCTCAAAACATATTTTAAACAATTATCCTCAATACTAGTGAACCTATTCCATATTATAAACTACTTATAGATGTGAGATGATTTTAAAAAAACACCCATGCTTCCTGTATTGATAAAATGCACCCAAAAACATTAATAGCACACCTAATTTTAATGTGCACATAGCATTAGATTCAAAGATAAAAAATATTGTGCTCGTCCTCTAGGAATTCACAATTTAATTGGAGGAAAAGGAAAATAAATATTTCTAAGCAAGTTGAGATGCAGGTATAAAATAAGTTCAAAATTTGGTCTCAGGAATTCCCAGGAGGGAGAAAATTTCAGAGAGGGAGAAAATAGGGCATTCTTTAGAGGAAGTCATATTTGAGCTGGGTTGTGAATAGAAGAAGTTTGCGGTGCAAATGGGGGAGTAATTGAGAAGGAAACCATAACATTCAAGATCCAGACCCCGTGGACAGAAGCATAAAATAAAGCTGCAAAAATAATCTCGAATGAGACACAGCTCTAAAAAAAAAAAAGAGTCAAATAAGGGCTTAATTTATCTGTGATAGAGAGGCATGCAAATGCTTTTATTTATTGGAGTTGTCAAAAATTTAATTATATCGGTAATTTATGCTCATTTCAGAAAAAAGTAGAGGAAAAGGGTAGGCACAATGCACAAAGCAGTTGCCTATGATCTGCAATTCCATTACCTAGAGACAACTATTGGTCACATTTTAGTATTTACTCTGGCTCCAAACGTTCTCCTTGTAATTATTAACACATTAACTTCACAAATGATTAGGATTTACTGTGACATTTCCATACATGCATACATCACACACAATGATCATGACCATGCATCCTTCTAATCTCTCCTCCCCACCCTTTTCCCCTGCCTCCTCCCAACACCATTGCCAGTATCTAGTAATCACTTTTCTATTGTCAAGTCACTTATTTACTTTCCACATAGGAGTTTTTCTGGTTTATTTTGCTTTGTCCTCCAGTTCCATCCAATTCCCTGAAAATGGCAGAATCTTCATTCTTTATGTTTGAATAATTCTCCACTGTGTACATGTAACATATTTTCTTTAGCCACCTGTTGCCGGGCACAACATTTGGTTTTATATTTTAGCTATTGTGAATTGGACTGCAAAAAACATGGGTATGCAGGTATCTCTTACATGATGACTTGTATGTTCTCAGGAATGGGAGAGCTGGATCTTATGCTCATTCTATTTTTAGTTTTTTGAGGAACCTTCATATTGCTTTCCACATGGGATGTACTAGTTTATATTTCCATCAACAGTTTATGAAGGTTCCTTCCCAGCATCTATTATTTTTGTTTGCTTTTTTATGATATCCATTCTAACTGAGATGAGATGGAATCTCATTAGTTTTGATATTTATTTCCCTCATGGCAAATAATATTGAGAAGTTTGTTCATATATTTACTGGCCATTTGTATTTCTTGTCTGAGAAGTATCTCTTCAGATAATTTGCCTATTTCTTATTAGATTATTTATTTTTTGTGTTGAGTTTTTTGAGCTCTTTATATATTCTGAATGTTAATACCACTGTTGGATGAACAGAAATCAAAGATTTTCTCCCATTCTGTAGTCTGCTGCTTCTTCACTCTGTTGATTGTTTTCTTTGCTGTGTAGAAGCTTTGTAATTTGATATGTTCCCATTCATCTATTCTTGCTTTAATTTCCTGTGTTTTGGAGTCCTATCCAGGAAATTATTGCTTGTAACAATATCTTGAAGTGATAACCCAATGTTTTCCTCTAGTAGTTTCAAAGTTTGGGGTCTTAAGCATATTGTTGTGTATTTCTTAATCCATTCAGTCAGCCTGTATCTTTTAATTAGAGAATTGAGACCATTTACATTCAGAGTTGTTGAAAGGAGCGGACTTGGACCTGTGTTCTGCTGATTTTCTTCCATTGTTTTAAATAGTCTTTGTTTCTTCATTTCTTATTCATCTTTGAGGTTTGATGGTTTACTGTATTGACACTATTTGATGCCTTCCAATTTCTCATTTGTGTATATAGTCTTCTAGTGGGGTTTAATCTTTCATGTGCTCTTAAAATAATATTTCTTCCTCTTCTGAGTGTAGGAGTTCCTTAAACATCTTCCGTAATGCCAATCTAGTGGCAATGAATTCCCTTAGTTTGTGCTTATCTTGAAAAGTCTTTATTTGTCCTTAGCTTATGAAAGATAGCTTTGCTCAGTGTAGTAATACTGGTTGGAAATTATTTTTCTTTTAGGACCTGAAATATATGATTCCAGGCCCTCCTGGCCTTTAGGGTTGCTGCTGAGAAATCTGCTGTTAGCCAAATCATTTTGCCTTTAAATGTGACTTGGCGATTACCTCTTGCAAATTTTAATATTTTTCCTTTGTCCTGAGCTTTTGGCAGTATAATTATAGCATGTCATGGAGAACTTCATTTTTTGTCAAGTCTATTTGGAGTTCTAAATGCCTCCTGTACTTGGATGTTCATATTTTTCCCCAAATGTGGGAATTTTTCTGCTATTGAATAGCTTTTTTATGCCTTCAACACTTTTCTCCCTCAGGTATGCCAATGAACTGTAAATTTCATCTTTAAAAAACAAACAAACAAACAAAAAACCCAAGAAAGTGGTTTATTTCCAGCCAACAAAAAGGTAACCTCAGAACTCATAACTGAAGTTAACAACATGAACTTCCAAAGGACATGGCTCCCCAGAGGCAAGGCTCCTCCATAAAGGGATATCAAAATCCTTTTATAGTATGAAGAAGGTGGTAGGAAGAATCACCAGGTAGGCAAATCATAAAACGGTGGGGGAAATCATTCGTAAGATTCAGGTGCTGTCTCCTTCTCAGTCTAAAGATTTAGAGGCTAGAAGTCCCTTAAGCCTAACATATACTTACAAGATTACATCAAGCAGTCACAAAAATGGTAATCTAGACATAAAGGCCTATGACAATTGGCTGCCCAAGGGGCCTAAGCATCCCAATACAATTTAGGCTTCTCAGCTTATAAAACCTTGTCTCCTCTCAAGGTCACAGTGAGATTTAAACAATCTGGAAGCTCAAACATACCCTCTTTGAAGGAATTTCAGTTCACAGTACCCCCTGTTGACCAAACACCACACTCTGTGTATGCTGAGGCCTATTGTTGTTTTATGTTCCATAGGGCTAGGAAGGCTCATTCCTAGGATATGAAGCTCAGTAAGCAGGAAAATAATCTTCAGGAGAGAGAAATAGTTATTGAAGTTTCTAAGAAAGAAATATCTGAAACATATTAAATTATTAGCCATCATAATCTATTTCTGAGTTTTCCTCTTTTACTAGCCTCTGCATCGAATACAATACCTGCATGCTGCATACAAAAGGAATACCTCAAACCAAAACAATCAAAAACACAGTATGACCTAAAGAAGAAAAAGTAACAGATGAGGGGAATAAACATCCCAGCAAACCAAAAATTTCTTTATGTGTCATCCTACTCTTTATTCAAAGTAACAATGTTTCCTTCCTGTATCTGCTGTCATCTGTACTGAATAAAATTTTTCATTTCATAGTTTAAGTATTTAAAATCATCTATTGGTAGAAGAGAGGAAAAGAAAGGGTAATGAGGAGTGAATATGATCAACATTATCTATATGTGACCATGAATCCCATTATTTTGTACAATTAACACATGCTAATAAATTTTTGTTTAATTACTTTTAATTCTAATTTTTTCTGGCAAATTTGACTCCATGTCTATAATCTTGTGAAGAGTAGCTGATTCTAATTCTAAAAGAGCTTGATCTTCAATGTTTAAATTATTGTAACTCTTTTTTGTTGCTGTTTGGTCTTTTAATGGTGTCCCAGAGATGTTCTCTTCATTCTTTATTATTTTTTCTTTATTCCTATCTGAATGTATATCTGATGGAAATATTCTCAATATTCTTTCTTTCAACTGATCTACATTGTTGAAGGTTTTTTTTAATCTGACTTGAGCTTATCATTTCCAAGACTTCTTTTGGTTGCTTTTCAAAATCTCTCTTTACTGAACTTCTCATCCATACACTGAATTGTCTTTCTTATTTAACTATTTATCAGTATGTTCTTTGATTTTGTTGAGATTTTAAATAAATCATTCTTTTGAATTCTTTATCTGGCATTTCATCTACTTTAATATCTTTGGAATCTGTTACCAAAGTGTTATGAACTTGTGTTTTTCATATTTTTTATGCTTCTATGATGAGATCTGCATATCTGTTGGGATGGATTTTGTTTCCATTTTATGTAAAGAAAGAATATTGAGCTTGAAGACAAGACTTTCAAAATATTACATTCAGACAGAAATTTAAAAATAAGAGAGAATGAAAAGAACATTCAAGATCTCTGGGACACCATTAAAAGATCAAACTTACTTTTAGCTCTTTATATATTTTGAATATTAGTCCTAGATCCGATGAATAACTGGTAAAGATTTCCTCCAATTCTACAGGGTTTCTTTTGATTCTAGTGTTTGCTGTGCAGAAGCTTTTTAATTTGATACAATCCCATTTTTCAATTCTTTTTCTTATTTTCTGAGAAATTGAGGTTCTATTCAGAAAAGCATTACCTATATCTTCAGGGCTTTCAGTATGTTTTCTTCGCCAAAAGAATAAATAATCTAATTAATGGGCAAATGAATTGAACACTTTTCTAAAGAAGTACAAATGGCTAATAAATACATGAAGAAATGTTAAACATTGTTAGCCATAAAGGAAACGCAAATCAAAACATTACTGAGATTCTATCACACCCCAATCAGAATGGCTATCATTAAGAAAACAAGCAATAACAAATGTTGGTTAAGATTCAAGGAAAAAGGAACCCTCACACCCTGTTGGTGGGAATGTAAATTAGTGCAGCTACTATGAAAATCAGTATGGAAGTTCTTTTAAAAACTAAAAATAAAACTACCATATGATCCTTCTATGGAATCAGTCTAGGTGCTCTTCAACCAATAAATGGATAAAGAAAATGGAGTGTTAGCCATAAAGAAGAGTGGATTTTGTTATTTGCAGGTAATTGGATGGAACTAGAGATCATCATGTTAAGTGAAACAAGCCAGACTGAGAAATACAAGTATCTCATGTTCTCTCTCATATATGGAATCTAATCTTTAAAAATGAATAACAGGAATGAAAACAGGTCCTGTTTGGGAGCCAGTATCAGCAAGAGTGGGAGAAGGTAAAAGAAGGTAAAGGGGGTGTGTGAATATGGTGGATTATTTATATTTATATTTATATATTATATTTACAAATATTACAAATATGTATTTATAAATACATATTACTATATATTTATATTTTATATTATAATATTACATATTATACAATACTATATATTCATTATACATAATTATATTATATATAATATATAATTATAATTATAATTATATAATATACAATTTAATAATATATTATATATAACAATACAATACAGTAACTATTATAATACTATATTATTATATATTAATATTATGTTATATATATTACATATTATTTATATATTTATTTATATTTATATATAAATACATATATGTATTTATATATAAATATATATTTATAAATATTATATTTATATTTATAATAATATTTATATTACTTATGGTGAATATTTACACCCATGTGTAAAACAGAACAATGTAACCTGTTAAAATGTTTTAAGAAAGAGGGAGGGGGGTGAGGGGAAGAGATAGAGGGGGTGAATTTGATTGATGTATATTGTATGCATGTGTAGAAATATCACAATGAAACCCCTTTGTGAAATTAATATATGCTAATAAAATTTTTTAAAAGATCAAACATAGCAACAAACAAGTTATAATAACTTGGACACTGAAGATCAATCTTTTTTAGAATTAATTAGTCTGCACAAGATAATAATCATGGAGTCAAATTATCCAGAAGAAAAAATTAGAAGATAATTAAACAAAATTTTGTCAACATATATTAATTGTATGAAATAACACATTTCTTCTTGGTATGCAGCTTTCTCTTTATGGTGTATCTTAGGGATATGTTTGCTGTGCAATGTTGAGTTTATTTCCAACTGGACAGCGTAATGTAACCTTCCAGTAATTTCTTCAGTTATGATTTATGCATTTGGGCACAGAGCATACCATATCAGAATTGGAAAGACCTACTGTCTTTGCAGGTCTTAAGAATGGGGACACTGTGGTAATTCAAGCAAGTTTGATGTAGGTAGCAGAGTGTGTTGGGCACATCCTCTATGGTTGTTCCTACCAGGGAAGTGGGGGTTCCTATCAGGTCATGGAGTTTCTACTAGTACTGTTGATGTTGGCCCTGTTACTTGAAAGCAAATCTGATGCTAGTTGCTTCAGTCAAGGTGGAGGGCTTGAAACTCTTGTCCTCTGGACATTGGTGCAGATCTAGGTTCTTCACAGGGAGCCAGAGGCCAGAATCACAACTTCTGCTCCGTGGCACTCTCCTCCAGTCTTGTCAGCAATGTGTCATCTAACAAGTTGCAGCTGTGACTAATGTAGAGGACCCACATAGTTGCAGAGTCAGCAATCATTGAGCTTTTCCTCTGTGCTGCTACTGTGGGGATGTCTGCCCAGGAGTAAGACCTCAGATCCCCCCTAGCTGTACCTGCCTATGCATGTGTAGACAGGTTGGAGGTTCTGTCCCCCTTATTCTTTAAGTAGAAGTATCCACAGGGTCTCAGAGATGGAAATTTTCTGACACTCCCTCCCACTGCAGCATAGACTCAGATAATAGGATCCTTCTCAAGATGGCTCCTGGCTATAGCACTCTGAGTGTTTGACAGGAGATGCTGCAAACTCCTTCTCTGAAGCTAGCCTTCTATGCAGACTCTAGTCCTCTTATTTATTTAGGCTACATGTACTGGCTCTGCACCATGCTGGGACTCTCTCTTTCACCTTTACCCCCTCAGAGGGGAGAGTCCTCTTCTAGCCATGGTACTATGACAGTCTCTAAGGCACTCTGTTTCTCTTATACACCTTGTCTCTGAAATTTCACCAGATCTCCTTTCCTTTGCTGTTAAATTGAGTGTTCGTTCTTCGCCACTCACCTCCCCATGCAGCTACACACCTGTTGTTTTGGTTCCATCTTGAAGAGAAGCAGGTAAGTGCTGAGTGCCTTTATTCTGCCATCTTTCAGAGTTTTTTTTCTATTTGCACACACACACACACACACACACACACATATAAATGCTCAGTTCTTTAAAGAAGTATTTAACATTGTAGGGTGGGGGAAGAGGGAGGGGGCGGGGTAGGTAAGGGTGGGAGTGGGAGGAAGGGGGGAAAAATGACCCAAACATTGTATGCACATATGAATAAAAGAAAAAAAAGTGAAAAAAAAATAAAAATTGTACATAATAATCACAAACATTTTTATAGAACAAGAGATTGTTGAAAGGGAAATATGGCATCTCAAAGAATGGGTGGGACATAATTCATTGATTTAATTCCACATAATTGGGCATTTAACTTGTATCCTATATATTTCTTACTTACCTGATTTATTTCTGAAGGATAAACTCTTAGGAATGGAATTCCTTGTTCAAATGTTTTTAATGGAAGAAAACCATTGAGTTGTGAATCATTTTTGAGTTTTTAAAAAGGCTTACTTTACTGGTATTCATTTCTTATTTGGTGTCTTTCAAGTTGTCAATACCAATCTCATCGTCATTTTCCTTGAGATGACTTTTATTGACGAATGAAGCAATAGGCACTTGTTTATCTACCACTACTTCTATCAGTACCCAACTGCCATGATTCATCACAGCCTTTGACCCCAACTCCACTAGCGCATAATCATACTACACACTGAGATTTCCCCCAAGTTTCATGTCAAATTCTGTTTCTTTTCCCTTAACAAGGAGTACAAACAGATCCAAATGTTTGTGAGTATGATAAAGGTGGCCTTTCCATACAACAAGACAAAGTGGATTATACAGTTTATGGTAAGGGACAACTGGGTATGAATTAGCAAAACAATATATGGGTCCTTCACTCAGCGTACACACATAAATTGAATTCAGGCTTCCGGGATACTTAGATGTAAATAAACTGTCACAGCAAAAACTAAATTAATACTTATGTAAAATATGAATTGGAAAAACATCTCTAAGAATTCTTACCGAACCCAAAAGCCACATGGGCAAAACAGAGATATTTGTAATATATAAAAGTTGAACACCATCAAACGAAGTCACCATGGTACCGTGAAAATAACTGTAAAAACTTCATGTACTATTATTCCTAATACAGCTTTAATTTTCTTAAAATACAAACAGTTGTAATGTCCCTAACATATTACAAGATCAAAGAAAATAAAAGTTGCTTTAGTCCTATTAAAACTTAAAGAAGGGCTGGGGGCATGGCTTAAATGGTAGAGCACTTGACTAGCAAGTACAAGGCCCTGAGTTCAAACTCCAGTACCACAGAAAAGAGACTTAAAGAAACTCCAAATAGAATTATGACAGTACTTCTCAATTCTAAAATTGATAAATTTCAGACTGATCATATACCCATCTTTGCCAATACTGGAAAATGGGAAGCTTCACAGCCTGCTGCTGAGGCATTAATTAGTGCAATATTGCCAAAAGATAATTGAATAATGTTCAAAAATAGTAAATACTTAGACTGTGGCAATAGTTACAAGATTCTGTAAATCTTACAAAAAGTCATTGAATTGTACTTTTAAAATGAGAGAATCTTATGGTATGTAAATTATACCTCAATAAAATTTTCTAAATGGTTAAAATATATATCGTTTGAGACAGCAATTCTACTTCTATGAATGCATACTACAGAAAATGGGTTTTTACCTGAAAAAGGAAGTTGCAGGATAATAGTGTCCAGTGATTTTCATTGTTGACCATATTGTTTAAATAATAGGAGAATAGATAGGCAATTTTTATATTTAAAATACAAAAAATCAGGGCTGGGTTTGATGATGGGTATGGGTAGTCCCTGCTAAACAGGAAGCTGAGGCAGAATTGCTTAAACCCAGGAGTTCAAGGCTAGCCTGGGCAACATAGCAAGAGCCCATGGCAAACAAAAAAAAACAGAAGTGGAAATCATGACAAGTTTTTAAAAAGAAGAACCCTCAACTTCAGGAGAGTAGATTTTCAAATTTCACTACGTCCTCTGTACAGGTCACATTGTGGAGGTTGGGCTAAATAAGAAAGAAAGATTAAAAGCCCACTAGGAAAAGAACTGTCCCCAAACTCATATCCCCAAATCTTACTTTGATTGCTTTCAATTTATGAGATGTTTTATCTTCTTTCACAACTGCAGTAACTTTTTGTCCAACTTTCAGAGGCAAATGGCCACTCACATCAGTACTAAAGTAAATGGACTCATCAATCAAGCCATAATCACTACAGAAACTTGTCACAATTCCTTGCACGGTTTGCAAGCTGGGGTCACCTATGGGATGGATAACAAACATTCACTACCAATAAGCCTATCAGAGGAACATATGGTAGATGGCCATCTAACTCTAGAAATCGATTTGAGATACAGATGACAAACTCTATGCCCTCTCTTTCTTGTTGGCCTCTCCTGACTCAGCTATAGATTGGCACAATTATACGAGGACTTCTGTCCTTGGACTGTTTGTGGGTATTAATGACATGCAGGCCTTAAAGCCCTTACTACCGTGCCTAGCCCAGACAAGTGATCAATACATATTGGAATTGATATAATTCAGAGAAGAGATGCCCACCCAGCAAAGCTCTTGTTTCATTGGCCTCCCACCCACCATGTGCAGGTCTTCCCCTTTATCCTCATGCCAGCCCTGAAGTGGGGCTCCAGGAAACAGCGAGCCAGTTAAATGTGGCTCCTGCTCTCTTTATGCGTGATGAATAGTCGCTCTTTCCTGCACGAGGAACGGCAAGCAAAATTTGGGAAGTGCCTCCAGCAGCCTGCACGCACAACGGGCCCCCTCCCTTCCTCTGGGACCAGACATAGGACTCGTCCACTTGGCTTCAAGTAAGAGACGTGTTTGGTTACGAGACCAAATTCTGCCTCAAAGTAGGGGGCTCCGCTTCTTCCGGAAATAGAAAAAGGCCTCGCTCAAGGGCAAAGGCAGGGCGATACAGCCAAGGAGGCCTTTTGCGCCACAACTTCGCGGTGGCCCGAATGGCTGCCCGCTTTGGACCACCACGTTTGTGGCACGGTGGGATGGGTGGCGGCCTAACTCTTGGGGACTCAAGGGCCCCTGCCCCACAGCGGACCCTCAAGATGGCTGCGCCTCCCTTAAGAGGAGGCTCCTAAGCGTGGAGGACAGGGGCACTCGCCCGGGCGTACCTTGCAGCAGACTCTGCTGCTGTGCGTAATAGCCCGGCTGCCTCCTCCTCCGGAAGAAGGCTAAAACCCGGTTCAGAAGTCGCATCATGGTGCTGTCACCTCCTGCCTCCAAGTTGTACCACGTGGCCTTCTCTGTCGCACGCCCTCGAGGCACAGAGACCGGTCTGTCTGGGTCCGGGTAAGCCTGGAGCAGCGCAGCGCCAGCCACGTGCAGACAACGTAAGTGACGGTGCTAGAGCGGCCTCCAGGCCAGCCCGTGCCACAGCGCCACCAGCTGGGCTCCCAGCTTCCCCGTCAGTTCCCCTCTCCTAGGCTGCTACAGAGCCCGCCTCTTCCTCTCACCAGCCAATGACGGTGCTCCCAGTGGTCACGTGACCCTCCATGGGCCATAAAAGGCAGTAGGTGGAGTAGCTGGGGAAACATGGCTCCTCCTATTTAGCCTGGAGGCTTCTTGGTTCCCGGTGGAGCCTGGGTGGGGCTTGTGCCCTGGCTGTGCAAACCAACCGCCAAAATCCAGCATGAGGCCGAACATAAGGACTGGTCACACAGGCGGACAGTCTGCGGTTTCTCTCAGCATGGAGGTAATGTGTGTGTGCTTCACGTCCTGTGCTTGTGCTTCATTTTAGGGATGGCGAGTCCTTCTGTTTCATATTATGGCGTCCTTTATCATTTGCAATGGTAACTTACCATAGAATTCCTTCACAATTATTCCTACCACTTACTCCTTGTTTAAAACGCCTAAATACTCCAGCCAATTACTCTGCTATACCTACTGCATCATTGCATTTATTCACTGATTTAATAAATGTCTGTTGAGGACGGACCGTGAGTCAGACGCCTTTCTTATGGCTTGGAATTAATCAGTGCACAAAAGACACAAGAATATTGGCCTGCTGGAGGTAACTTTCTCACAGGAGGAAAAGGGACACGAGAAACACAACAAATAATGAAATACCTTATATGTTGGGAGGCTCAAAATGGTTTGGAAAAATACTGCAGGGCAACGGAACCTATAGTTGGCAAGGGGGGTCTGGATTGAATTTTGCAGTATGGTCATGGGGTTTCCCAATAGATGAACAATGCTGTTTTAGGGGGGGCAACTCCATTAAGGAAGCAGCCTAGGCAGACTTAAGTGTGTACGTGATGTTTTGAAGCGAAACCTATGTAGTTGGGTCAGAAGGAGTGAAATTGCTGGGCTGTGTAGTTTTTACTCCTTAAGTTTCAGGGTTTCCCAGAAAAGGATGGAGACCAGTTAAAGACAAGATTGAGCGTGTACAGCCAGTTGCAGGAAGATTGAGGGAGATAAATGTTTTATTTTGTTTTGTATACCTTTGAACATTGTAATATAGATACACTGTGGGTGCCAAACTTCGGTGCTAGGACTTTATGCCTGGGAGCCAGGATCTAGACCTGTGTGGGTCCAAGTAGAAAAAAAAAGCTGTCCTTGTGCTTCCATGAGGACCCAGTGGCAGCGTTATGGCGGGGTGGGGCGGTAGGCAGGCGCTGCAGACTCTCCACCGAGGCAGAGGTTGTTCTTTCCCGCTTGGCCTTGGAACCCTGGGCACTTGGAGTCCTGCGAAGCCAGGCTCTGGTCATCTTTGACAGCAGGCTTGGCTGGTTTCGGCAAGGGTGGTCTGGGAGCCTGACAGTGGAGTCTGGTCTGAGCTCCCGATGGAGAAAAGGCTCCTGTGACAGTAAAACTGCAGGAGTTCCTGCGCCTGGAACCAGGAGTGCCCAGCCTTGAGGCCGCCGATTTATGCTTCTGAAACTCTTGTTTCCAAGAGGCCGCTGGTTCCTGGGAAGCCTTCAGGCAGCAACTGGAGCCTTGCCATGGGTGGCTTCAGTCAGGTGTGCATCAGCGAGCGAGTTTCGAGTTGCCGGTGCTGGAGCAGTTCCTGACCATCCTGTCCCAGCAAGGTCCACACTCTGCATTCGGAGAGCTAAGAAACTGCGACTCTTTTAAAGTATGGTTCATTTAAAGAGCGCTTGGGAGAGAGAGGGAATAGATGAGGGGAAGGAAATTACCTGTTACTTGATTGGCCCCTTGGTCTGGGACATTTTGCTGTCTTAGTTACTCATTCAGATTCTCTTTTCATTTTCATTTCATTATTAAAGTATATCAATTATTAAAGTATATCAATTTGTATATATATTAAAGTATACAAAGCAAGGGGTTTCATTATGGACATTTTGATAATACACTTGTGGAAACTATGGTCATATTCACCTCCTCTATTACCCATTCTTATGCTCCCTCCCTCTCCCTTTCGCATTCAACATTCCTTATAATCCCCCCTTTACTTTCCTGTCCATTTTATTTTGTCCCCAGGTTCCACATATTAAAGATAATACACAACACTTGTCTTTCTGAGTCTGACTTATCTCATTTAACATAACGATCTTCTGTTCTTTCCTGCAAACATCCATTTTTCCACAAACAACGTAATTTCATTCGATATAACACTTTATCCATTCATGTTTTGATGGGCACCTAGGCTGATTCCATAGTTTGGCTACTGTGAATAGTGCTGCAATAAACATGGGTGAGCAGGTGTCTCTACTGTATACATTCCTTCAGATATATGCCCAGGAGTGGTATAGCAGGATCACATACAGTTCTAGTTTTAGTTTTCTAGAACATTTGATTAGTATATATTTGTTGTACAGGGGATTTTATTGTCATATTTCCACATAGCTTTACAATGCACCTTGGTTAGATTCATCCCCTGCATCATTCTCCCTCCCCCTTCCTCCTACTTCAAATGATTTCAACAGATTTCAATATTCTATTTTCATACAAGTATATAAAGTATATCAACCATATTCACCCTCCTTCAGCCTCTCCATTTACCCTCCCCTTTCCCACTAGAACCCACCCCCTAACAGGACCTGTTTTGCATTTTAGCCTTTCATTTCTTAAGTGTACATTCATTGCTCAAAAGGGTTTCACCATGGTATATCATCCACGAATATATTATACTTTAATCAGTCTAACTTCCTGTATTATTTTCCCTTACCCTTCCTCCCACTCACTATTAATCAACAGATATCCGTGTTTCATTGTTATTCCATCTTCTATTTTTAGTTTTTTGAGGACCCTCCACACTGATTTCTGTAGTGGCTGCACTAATTTACATTCCCATCAACAGAGTTTAAGGGTTTCTTTTTCACTCACACCCTCAGCATTTGTCATTTGTTTTCTTGATCATAGTCATTCTGACTGGAGTGAGATGGAATCTCAAAGATGTTTCAATTTGTATTTCCTTTATAGCTAAGGATGTTGAACACGTGTTCATGTGTTTATTGACTATTTGTACTTCTTTTGAAAACTGTTCATTGGATTATTTGTTCTTTTGGTGTTTAATTTTTTTAGCTCTTTTTATATTCTGTATTTCAATCTCTTGTTAGATGAATTGCTGGCAAAGATTTTCTCCTATTCTGTAGGCTGTCTCTTTACATTGGTAATTGCTTCCTTTGATGTGCAAAAGCTTTTTAATCTGATGCAATTCCATTTGTAAATTCTTCATTTTATTTCCTGAGCTATTGGAGTCCTGTTCAGAAAGTCATTGCCTATGCCTACATCTTTAAGTGCTTTCCTGTAGTAGTTTCAACGTTTTGGGTCTTACCTTAAGGTGTTTCATCCATTTTCAGTTGATTTTTGTACAGAGTGAGAGATAGGGATCAAGTTTCAGTCTTCTACATGCTATAAGCCATGTTTTCTTTACTCATTCATCTATTGCCTATTCACATTTTCTTCCTAGGTGTAGTGGTGCAGGCCTGTAATCCCAGAACCTGGGAGGCAGAGGCAGAAGGATGGCAAGTTCAAGCCAACCTGTGCTACATAGTGAGACCCTGTCTCAAAAATACCAAAGAATTTTTTTTCTTGATTGCCTTGAGTAGACCTAACACTGGTCAGTGACTTTTTGTAGTCTAGTTTGAAAGATTCGTGCTCCAGATTTCTCCCCTTTCCCCCAAGTGCAGTGAACGGTGTATTGCTTTTGGTTTCCACAGGATGGCAGTGTCCCTGAAATAGTGGGTCAGCCCTGGCCAGATGTATGGTGGGTATCAAATCCTGGCTCTGTTGCCTACCAGCTGTGGGACTTTGAACAGGGCCCCATTTTCCTCATAAGTAAAATGGCAGTGGTGCCATCTCCCTCAGAGGTGGTTCTGAGGATTCAAGGGATAGCAGCATGTGCATTTTGATCATGGTAGTCTGGGCTCCTCTGCAGAGCTGGATCTCACTTCATTGTGAATTTAGAAAAACAGTTTTCACTGGGGCTTTGAGATCACCGTCCCGAGGGCATCACTAGTGAGGAGGGATACCTGGAAAAGGTGGGAGGGAAGGGGTGTGAGTCCATCAGGAGAAGGTGGGAGGAAGGGAAAGATGGGTGCTGACGTGGCTCCTCTCCCCACCCCCTGCACATACAATCACATATATAGTTCTACATGTGGACACAGCGTGGACAAAACCTCGAGTTTGAATCATCCCTTTCTGGCCGGGCCCAGAGGGACAGACTGTGAGTCTATGGAAGTTTGCTCTCAGATTCCTGTAATGAGGTCCCTTTCTATTGGGCCCTGTGGGGGTGAGTGATGCTCCAAGATTCCTTTGTTTATCATTGCCCTTCAGATTGAAGACCTTCATTTTTTTTTGACAGTATGGGGATTTGAACTAAGGGCCTCATGCTTACTTGCTAGGTAGGCACTCTACCACTAGAGCTATGCCCCCGGCACGTTTTTTGCTTTAGTTATTTTTTAGGTAGGGTCTCTTGTTTTTGCCCCAGGCGGCCCTCAGACCACAATCCTCCTACCTACACCTCCCGTTGCACTTGGAATCACAGCCACCTGCCACTGTACCTAGCTTATCAGTTGAGACGGGTTCTCAACAACTTTCTGCCTGAACTGGCCTCATGGTCCTCATGATTTCTGCCTCCGAAGTAGCTGGAATTACAGGTGTGAGTCATCACACCTGACCCCATGTAGCCATTCTTTAAGGATAGTTATGCTAGTGACAAATTATTTTAGTTCTCCTTTTTCTAAAATGCGTTTACTTCTTAATTCTGTAAGGATAGTGTTGCCAGATTAAAAAAT